CAAAGACCAAGACCCTCCTGGTCTTGGTGTACCTTGTGCCCTTGGAGACACCAAGGGCCAGGTATCACTCCCTTCTCCCCTCTCCCTCTACTAACCCACTCTCCCTACCTCTCCTCTCTCCTCTTACTCACCCCTTCTCTTTCCCCCACCTTCCACTGCATCTTTTCTCTCCCCCTTTTATCTTCCCCACCCCACCTTTCTCCCAACACCCATTCTTTTACTGTCCATCTTTTATTTCTTTCTTTTCTTCCTCCTTCTTTTCTCTTTGCTTCTTGATCCCTGTCCACCTTCCCCATCCCTCCTCTCCCCCAACTACCACCACCCTATCCCCCTACCTCCCACTTTCTCTTTTTCTCTCCCCCCACCTATTTCTTTCTTTTCTCCCTCACTTTTCGTTCCCCTTCCCCCCTACTTCGAAAATTTCTATGTTTTTCTTCTTTCCACCTCTCTTTTGATTTATCTTTTCTTTTTTTTCAAAAATTCGAAATATCTTCTTTCCCACCTTCTTTTCTCATTTTCTGATTTATTTAATTTATTTTTCTATTTATTCTGAAAATTTCGATTTTCTCTACACAACCCTAAATCTGATTAGTTGTTAGTTTTCTCATCTTCTTCCCCACCCTCTTTTCTTATATTTTTTTGATTTATTTTATTTATTTTTACCTATTCGGAAAATTCTTGGCGGCAACCCTAAATCTGATTAGGTGTTAGCCTTTCTTGCTTTCGACACACGTTTTGACCCCGTGGGGGTAACGAAGTGCTGCCGAAATTTTCTGATTTTCTCTTACTTAGTCTTTTCGGCACACTTCGACCCTATGGGGGTAACGAAATGCTGCCAAAATTTCTGAAAAATCAGATAACCCTTTTCTCCCCACCTCCTCACACACTTATTTACTTATTTATTTATTTATTATTTCTTATTTATTTTCTGAAATTTCTTTTTTATTTATTTATTTGCGGCATCTCTAGTGTGCACACCTCGGTCTCTCCTTTTCCCTTGGCACATTCTTGACCCCGTAGGCCCGTAGGGGGTAGGGAAATGCTGCCGAAAATTTCAAAAAAATAAATATTGTTTCTCTTCACATCTTTTTACTTATTTTTTTACTTATTTTTATTATTTATTATTTATTTATTTTTTTATTTATTTTTATTTCCTCTCGAAATCTCGCTGTTTATTTATTTTTCTTATGTCTCCCCCCCCCCCCTATGCTTGCTATTTTACTTTCTTGATTAGGTCACCGGTACCCTACCCTAGCCTTAAACCTCGGTTAGGGTTTTCTTAAGGTTTTTGTAGGGTTTAGGGTTCCTCAACCCTCCCCTACTTCCCCGTCCTCTTCGGGCACCCTGGACTCGAACCACCCCTCCCCCTTTGACGGCGCCCGTGCTAGCCTTGCTAGCGCCGTTCGCCGCTTTCTACCGCGGACTTCCCTCTACGCACTCCGCTCACGCGGACCTCGTCTGGCCCCCTCCAGTCCGGTCCGTCATCTCCCCATGGCCGACGGTGCGTCACACGCCGTCGACACGGCGATGACCACGGCATCGGGCTCCACACCCGTGCCGGCGGACCAGGGCCATCAGCCCCAGGGGGATCTACACACCCTCCTCACCTCCCTCCTTGCGCCCATCCAGGCGCAACTCGCGACCCTCGGGGCCTTACAGGCGCAGGTGGCGACCCTTGCCGCCGGCGTGCAGCAACTCCAGGACGCTGGTCGCCCTTCCTCTCCTCATCCTCTCTCTTCTCCTGACTCTCAGTCCGGGTCCCCAGTTCTCCGACAGGGTGGCCACGGCGGAGTTTCCTCCTCTGCTGTTCCCGACCCGGCCATTTTGGTGACCGTCCACGCCCCTAGCTCGACGGCCGCCACGAGTCAGGCCCTTCCTCAGTCTACGGGCGCACCGGCCCAGATTCCGGTTACGACGGCCACGGGACCACAACCCGTTACCATGGTCTCAGCGTTTCCGGGTGCCTCGCTCCTCCCCCCC